GAAACCGGCGAATTTATTGATCAGTTCTGAAGGCGTTTTAAAAATAGCTGATTTTGGTTTGGCCAGAGTATTTCAGAAGGATAAGGAGCGTCTATATAGCCACCAAGTAGCGACAAGGTAAGTCTGCACCCTAACACTTATCGTAGGTGGTACCGAGCTCCTGAATTGCTTTACGGAGCCAGAAAGTATACCCACAGTGTGGACTTGTGGTAAGCCATATACGCCTTATTTATAATGGAGGGCAATCGGCTGCATCTTTGGTGAACTTCTCAATTGCTCCCCTTTGTTCCCAGTAAGTTGCACAGAATCCATTATACTAGGGTGAAAATGATATAGAGCAACTTTGGTTTGTGATTCGTGTCCTTGGCACTCCTAATGAGGAAACCTGGCCGGTACGGAATCTATTGATATTTTTTCCTGGCAATCTGCCCACAATTGAATCTTAAAGACTAATTTTAGGAGATGAAGGAACTGCCCGATTACAATAAAATTGGTTTTTCCTACTGCAAATCGCTACCTTTTGATGAGATCCTACAGGATGCATCCAATGAAGCAATCGATTTAATAAAAAGATTTTTGGTATATCCCCCAGATCAAAGGATTCCTGTTTTCCAGGTATATTTTGATAAATGCTAAAAACACATTACACACCACTTCCTGACAGAGCATAAAGTTAATAAAAGACATCTTTGCGGCCGGGATATTTTTCCTTTCCACAAGGCATGCTTTGCATTAACTATGTTTAAATAAAATTCAAATTAACAAATCAAGCTTACTGTTTCAACATGAGACTATAACCGTCTCGGCTAATTCTAAATTAGTTATCTTATCACTATATAGGCATATTTTATTTACTACCTTGTTATCTAACTCTGATCAAGTCCTCAGATTGCTTCCATTTGTAAGATAAAACAAACCATTATAGGAGATGGTTTTCGCTTTAATATATATTTGTAATTATCTAGAGTTCAACATGACTGATAATGATACGTAGCAACAATTTCATTAAACATTGAGAAGCAGGAAAGCAAACGATTGCTTTAGGAAACTTAACCTGCAACTTGCTTCTTTAATTAAATTACATAGACGAGCATATTTGATTACAATAAGCAACAACCAATGCCAAATTTGAAAATCATATAATCAATCTGAGGGCCTATATTATCCCTCACATTGTATTACTTGTGATGCTGACTTTTCGCATAGGACACTTGCTATTCGTAAAC